AGCATATAATTTTAGAAAAGCTGGAACTCTCTCAACACTTTAAATGACAATCAAAGCTGACCTGAATATGTAAAGAAGTGGGGTTTATTTCTTCTACTCTAACCAAACTATTTGTCAGGCAAGGCATTATTTTCCTTTCTTTGATCCGGAACATCTTACCCACTGTACAGACTGCAAGAACATCAGTCTGTTATTAACTTTAAACATGCTGAAATAATTTATTTTACATGTACTGTAGCTAAAATATTTAAAAAGGTGACTTGAGTACAGAGTAATTGATCATACTGGACACAATATCTACCTACTGTTTCAAAATATTAGTTACAATGTATATATGTATGTAAAATAAATATTGGAGCAAAGCAAAGTGCTTCCAGAGACAAACTAAAATGTTTACTGTACCTTCTTACAGCTTTGTCAGATTATATTATCATTAATTTATTAATTAACATAAGATTAAATTTCTTGTACAAACAAGAAGTTTTGTTTCAAAATAAAGTTTAAGTTTCTTTCTCTGCATTTTTGGTTAAAACTTTTTTGTTCTTGACTCAGTGAAGTTACACACTGTAATTTTATTCAGAGTATCAGTACTTTATCATTATTACACAAATAAAAGTATGATGTGGTAAATCTTGTCATAAAAGTGCATATTTTTCCAGAAAGTTATTGAAGTAAATGTAACTAGTTCCTCTGTAATGAGTTACTTTTAGTCTTCAGGTTCTGGTATCTGTGAGGAAATGCCACAGACTATGAAGAAACATTTTTATGGCACTTTAAGGAACACAGCAGGGTCTTCTTGAACCAGATCCTTCAGAGAACAGGGCCGTCTTAATCTAAATGAACAGGCCTTGAGAGCAGCTATTTTCACAAGACTTTAAATCTTATCACAACTTCTACTTAAACTCTCTTTCCTAAGCTGCTCTGCCACATTGCACCACATTAATGCCTCGCTTTATTTCACCTTTGCCTGACCATTATCTGCAATGTGCTGAGCTCTGCAGAGGAACAAATCAATTCTTGTCAATTTGTTTTATTTCTTCCAACCTCCTGAACTGTTTTAACTGCACAGTTGAATTAGAATAATGGGAACTGGACTGTCATGCATTCAGTTACAGGTAAATGAAAGTGGGGAGGTATCGTGACACCTGGGGTATTAAATTATGACAGAAAATACAAAATGTATCCATTTTGTCTTGCACTGTCTTTTCACCTCTCCATCTTGAATCACTTTGTTTCATCCAAAGACAAAACTTCATCCCTTATTCCCCTTGTCCTCAATGCTGTCATTTGTCTTTATCAGAGCAGAAAATGAGACAATAAAAGGTGTGAGCAAGGGGAATATCTCTTCTCTTCTCCTCCCATCTCCACTCTTTGTTGCTATTTCAGAGACCATATGTGATGAGATCCAACACACAATCTAATGAGATTCTACAAATGTTCCACAAAGTCCATCCAACTTACCCAGCAGCCTGGTCTCTGGAAATGAAGTCTCTACTCAGAAAGGTACATTTCTATTAATGTGTCTGCAAGGTTATTAAGATCAATCAGATTAGAGTCATATCAGCATGAGTTGGTTAAAATAGGAGGAGTCTTGTTGTTATAGTTTGGTCACATGAGGGCAGTATTAGATTGTGCATAGAGCATTTCAGCCTAACTTGCATCCAAAGATGCCCAGTTGATTACAAAGCATAGAGGAAAATATGAAGAAGTTAAAAGTTACTAACTCCACCCTGAAGCAGAAGCAGATTGTAAAGTTTGGTTTCAATACATTTACATATGTTTACATACAGCTCTGGAAAAAATCAAGAGACCACTTACAGTGATCTGTTTCTCAGATTTTACTTTTTGTTTGAGTAAAATGAATATTGTTATTTTATTCAATGAACTACTGACAACATGTCTCTGAAAATCCAAGCAAAACTGTAGCATTTATTTGCAGAAAATAAGAAATGGTGAAAGCAATGAAGATGCAGTGCTTCCAGATCTCAAATAATGCAAATAAAAAAAGTCATATCCATCTATAAGCAACAATACTAATGTTTTAACTCAAAAAGAGTTCAGAAATCCTTATTTGGTGGAATAACAATGAGGCTTTCAGTGGGTTCAGTGCAGTAGTCGCTGTGTATACTTCAATACATATAAACTGTTCAAAACGTAGTTTGCTATGAGCAACAGACATTCTTCATAGAGCAGACAGGTCACGTTTCACAGAGTAAAACATCAGAGCTTGTACCCCTGTGAGATGGGTAGATGTTCTGCACAGACTATGCAAGCTGTGCTGAACAAAAATAACTTTTACTGTTCATAATCTCTAAAATGTTCTTGTCATTGAGATGCATTTGTAAAACTGAAGGACTTTCTCTTGTTTGATCATCTTCTCTTGCTAGCAATTCACTGCAGTCTAACTGTTGCATTGCTTCGTGCTCAGACTCCTCTGAGCTCATTGGCATTCCTGTTGCATGTGAAAGTGTGTGAGTTTGGGTGTGTGTGTGTGTGTGCAAGGGGGAGGAAAAGAGTGGAGAGAAGGGAAAGTGAGAATGCAAAGAAAATTCCATGCTCATTACATTTGTCCTTCATCTTCCAGGATTCTCAGGCCACTGTTTTCTCTGCACTATCATTTGCTACCTGAATGCATGTCATTTCATTTTCCTCTCTTTCTGTTCCTCCTTGTTTTGGAATCTATCTCCCTCTCCTTCCAGCCTGCCTGACTTCTGAAAGGTCTCTTCTTCCCGTCAGTTTTCTGCCTCATCCTTCAGGCGAAGCACATCCTCCTGTCAGTGTCTGACTGAGACTCTGATCCCAACTTGTACACAATCATTCTAACTAAAATATTCTTCTCTGCTTCAGTTGCTGTGCATAGATGTCCAGAAGCGCATATCCTGTCTCGCAGAGCTCCAAGATCTGGATTACATGTCTGACGTCAACTGGGATGCAGTTCTCAACAAACAGCTTCCTCCAGGCTTTATTCCTAATGTGAGGATAAAAACGTGTGAAAATATGAAGACTGACTGACTCTTTGTATTAGACAGCAAAATATTCATATAAATGCTGTTGAATTTTCATTCTACTATTCTAATACCACAATAATTATATTATGATTACATCAATCTTCTCTTGTACTTTTACTTATAGAGTGCCTTAAAAAGTTTTTGTCTCTTTTTTTTTATTTTTTTTGTCTTCAACATTTCAGGTCATCAAATAATTTTCGATACTGGACAAAAATGACCTTCATAAATACAAAATACAGTTTCTAAATTCCTATGGTAGAATTATGACCTGCTGGTCTTTGCAGATTTTTTTTATTCTCTCATATTGAAGAGTTTTTAGGAATCAATTTCTTTTTTCAAATCATACTGCAGTGTATCATTTGGATTCATGTCCAGCCTTTACCATTTCCAATCCAGACTTTCATTTTTATTGTTTTTTGGGGGTTTTACCCTCTCAGAGGTTGACTTACTGATGTGCTTTGGATTATTTCCTGCTGCATGACCCTCGCATGATGAGGTTTAATGTCACAAACTGTTGCCCAGGTGTTCTCCGTATGGGATTTTCTGCTAAAGATCAGAATTGATGGTTTCAGTAATTGTGGCAAGTCGTCCTGGTCCTGAATTAGCAGAGAAAACCATCAAACTTCAACCTCTATGTCCGCCTGCCATGATGACGTTCTTCTTTAAATGCTGTGCTGCTTTTACAGATATAATAGGATATGTACCTTCTAGAAGAAGATCTTCTTAAAAGTCTTAAAGATCATCAAAACGTTTTCTCAAAAATATGAGCTGGACGACAGTGTTCTGTTAGATCGGTAGTTGTTGCTGCCTTGGATGCATTTGTCCCCAATTTCTTTTGTCTTTTAGTAACTGTACATCGTACATGTTGGCATTATCTGAGGCAAGTAAGACCTCTAAGACTTTAGATGTTGTTTTTGTTCTTTTTTGACCTCCTGGATGAGTAATCAAATCACTATTGGAGTAATTTTCTTCAGTTAGTCACTCTTTTAAAGGTTAATCTGTTCCATGTTTGCTCCATTTGTGGAAAATATTTCTCACTGTGGTTCACTAGATGGCTTTGTAACATTTTCCAGACAGATAAATGTCAAACATGTGGCCAGTCAATTAATATCTAATTACCAAAGCAAGCAATGCTACTACATTTACACATAGGGGGATGTTGGTTTTTCCCTCAATAAATCTTAATTTTAAAACTGTTTTCTGAAATCTGGCAGCTAGATGCGTCATGGCTGGTTTTAATGGCAGCTGCATTTATTTATGCAGATTGTAGCTAAAGGTTTGTAATGAAGTCCAACAATAAATATGACTTCAATACAAAAGTCTTTAATAAGGAGTAACTCCTTTGAATGTTTTCATACATTGTGACAAAGTAGCACAACTGTGTAGTCGATGTCTGTCCAGAGAATTTAAACCACTGACTGATCAGAGGATCAATTTCAAATTGACTCTTTTTCTAATTATATTCCTATTTCTTATTCTGAGTTTTTTAGCCTCCATTAATATTTGATAATATATAGGAAGCATAAAAAAGGAAAAGTCCAATGGAAAATTAAGTCACTGCACATTAATTTAACTCATCAAACAACCAAAGGTTTGGAAAAATCTGAACGACTTAGTTTTTTTCCCACTAGTTTTATGCAAACCTGTAATGTCTAACATGGAAACTTCTTTCAATCTCCTTAAAAGTCTTTGTTTGTTTTTAAAGAGACGGAGACTAAACTGTGACCCCACCTTTGAGCTGGAGGAAATGATCCTGGAGTCCAAACCACTTCATAAGAAGAAGAAAAGACTCGCTAGAAAGACCAGGGAGCAGGGATCCGACGGATCCCCGCAGGTAAACGCGTTCTGATGGAGTCCAGAATGAATCCAAACCACTGGACACACTTCTGTCTGACATCTTATTTTCCAACATTTGCTGATATTTGTTTCTATCAATCAAAGATGATACTGTCTATAAATATCTGCTGTGTTTGTGCAACGCTTTAACATATCCATTTACCAAAGGCCTGTGGGGCCACTTATGAAGGATGGAACTTAAGTCAGAAACAAAAGAAAGACAGTGTGTGTGTGTTGTCTGTGTGTGAAGAGCGAGCGAGATGCCAGCTGAAGTCTGGTGGATCAATACGGAATAAAAAGTTGCCCTTATGCCTGTCCCAGCATGCTTTTTGCACATTGCCCTGCAGCTGCTCTATATTCTGTCTAGATCTCTCTTGTTTCTTCTCATCTTCATCGTCTTCCTTTCATCCTTTGTTCTTTCATTGTCTTGAGACTCCCTCAACAATTCTGTCAACTATTGGCGCCTTGTGCTTTTCAGTTCCAGTAAGTGTTCGTTCCTCGTGTTGTTTTCATTTCCGAAACTAATGCATTGTGCTACATCTGTGCTGCTTATGTTGCCTCACCTAATTGACAAAAATAAGAGAATTCATCAGTTTTGCTGTCATTTCACAAAATTACACATTTTTACCTTTTCTAAAAATTTACTTTCCACATATAATTCTACGGAAGAGGATTAGGGCCACAGAAAAAAAAAAAAATATTTTGGGCCAACTTTTTTTTTTTTTTTTTTTTTTTTTCCACTTTATTCAGAA